AAACGTGAAAATGGGTTATAATACTCATATAGAAATGTGTTGTTAATCAGAAATTATTCTAGAAGTATGTTAAATTATTAAAATGTTGAGGCTTCTAGTATTTTCTAAAAATTTGTGTTTGAGATGATTTATGAATTTTATTTTATTTTATTTATTTATTTATTTTTTGTAGCTGAACAGATACTTGTAAGAAAAAAAAGTAATTGATTGGTGTGTAAAATGTGACATTTTGTCTTATTGACTATTTTAATATTTTTTTTAATCTTTATTGACTATTTTGGCCAATTTAGCTCATCCCAAACACCAAACAAGATTGGATAACAAACAAGTTGTTATTTATGGGCTCTGTTTGGGAACAAGGGTTGAGGCTAAAATAATTGATAAAGACAAAAAAGATTAAAATAGTCGATAAGACAAAATGTCACATTCTACACATTAATTAATCTTTTTTTTTTGGGTGTCACAACCATCTATTTAACTATAAAAAAAAATTCACAAATCATCCCAAACAAACACAATTTTTTTTTCATCTCATAAAATAATCAAAAAGTCAACTAAAATAGCCATTTGTTCCAAAACTTTAAGATGTGTTTAGTTCATAAATTTGGGTAAAGATTTATAAAGAAAAAGGGAAAGTAAAAATATGAGTGATCACACACCTTTTATAATTTTTTATCTTTTATTCTTTAAATTAATGAACCAAACACAACCTAAAAGGTCTGATATCCATACCTCCATTTTTTGGAGTACAGACAGAATTCCCAACTTCCTAATTGACTTTTGCCCTACTATGCTTCAAATATGTTCCAGACTAGAGCGAAAGCTCTAACCACACTTTCAATGTCTTTAAGCACCATAGCAAGTAAAATGAATGAAAAGCTCCAGTAACATTAAAATGAATAACTAAGTAAAATACTTTTTGGAGCAGGGTTATTATTTGACAACCTGTTTGGCCAGAGAGCATTTTATTAGAAAATAGAACCCAAAAATTAGTAGCAGATCATATCATGGTTGGCTTTTTCAAAAAAGTGCTTCTTTGAGGTATTTAGGCATTTTCTTTCTTATTATATCATAACCAACACTAGAGTTGCATTATGAGTTAAAGCATGATTTCAGAATCAAGAGTACTCTTGATGGATTTCCATAAAAGTTTGAAGGAAATTAAATCAAGAGCGCTTGGTTGAAAAATCAAGAGCGCTAATTTATTATGTCCATAAGAACAATCTATCGCACAATGATCAAAATACCCCTACATTACCTCTGCTATCTCACACAGTTTAGATTTTAGGTCCTCTCATCTCTCTCTCTCTCTCTGTGCTCAAAACACGAAACCCTTTTATCCTTTCTCTCTCTCTCTTTCTCTCTAGATCTCGTATTCGTCTTCGCTTCCACTCCAATAGTTGGTACCGCCACCATTGATTCAACGATAATTTTTGGCTTCTTTATCATAGCCTTCGGAGACCACTGATGCCGACAAAGGCCTGAAGAAGAAGAAGATCTAAAGCTCACCTACAACTTTCCGCACCATCGCCTTTACGTCGTATTCTCGCCATCACCGATCTGACGGCAACATCTACAGATCTGTAGATCCACTTACCCTAACCATAGATCTAGACCACCATTGTGGTCTGGTAGCGAATATGAAGACGAACATGAAGAGTCTAACGATGATATGGTTTTATACGATCAGAGAGATTGGGTGTGGATCCGAAATTGGTCGAGAAGGAAAAGGAGATCTGGAGATCTAGTTCTATACTATATATGTGTGTGTGTGTGTTTCAAAGTTCTGTGTTTGTTGATTGTTGATTTTGATGTTATTTTCTCTTTGGTTCTTGTTACTCAAAAGACAACCTAAGGGGGGTGAATTAGGTTTTTACAATTATTAATTAATAATACCCTAATAAAAATTATGACTAGCACAATAGATAAATATAGTTAATGAAATAAAAATAATTAAATCAAGTGTTCTAATAATTATGTCAGTTAATGATTTTAGCACAGTGAAAATATAAAATATAGCTACATCAATTTAAATAAAATAAAGAGATAAGGGAGAGAGAGGCAAACAAATTTATAGTGGTTCGGCTTCAACTCGGCCTACGTCCACTCCTCAAACTTCACTTGAGATTTTCCACTATGCTCTAGCTTTACGGGGGTGCTAGCAACCTCTTTACAAATGGAGCAATCCTCTATGGATTTTACACAGACTTCACAAGCCCAAACCCTTGCAAATCTTAGGTGATTCACAATCACTCTCAAGATTTCAAGAACACAGTGTTTGCAACACTTTTACAAGATGAAATGGTATTTTTGCTTTCAAAGAAAGCTTACAATAAATATCTCTCAAAGATGGATATACAAAATGAAGCTCTGGTTTTTTGTAAACCTCACACAGGAAAGATAAGCTTAAAGCTATAAGGCTCAGTGTATATTTTTTTAGAGAGGATGTAAACAAAAATTGAAGAACACTCCTCAGAGAATTTTTCAGAGAATAGATGTGAGTGATTATAGATCAAAGAATATTTTTTACTTTTTTTTGTAACTTGTTTACATTAGAGGCTTTGGTATATATAAAGAAAATTATAGCCGTTTATATCCGTTGTATTCATTTGAATTTATAGCCGTTTATAGCCGTTGTAGTCATTTGAATTTATTGCCGTTTATAGCCGTTGTATTTCCATCATTACCAATTTGAATATCTTCCACTTGAACCTTTTGAACCTTTTGTAGTCATTTGAATTTATTGTCGTTTATAGCCGTTGTACTTCCATCATTACCAATTTGAATATCTTCCACTCCATCATTACAAATTTGAATATCTTCCACTTGAACCTTTTGAACCTTTTGGCCTTTTGAACCTTTATAGCCGTTTATAGTCGTGGTACTTCCATCATTACCAATTTGAATATCTTCCACTCCATCATTACAAATTTGAATATTTTCCACTTGAACCTTTTGAACCTCTTGGCCTTTTGAACCTTTATAGCCGTCTATAGCCGTGGTACTTCCATCATTACTAATTTGAATATCTTCCACTTGAAACTTTTGAACCTTTTGGCCTGCTACTGTGCTAGGCTGTTTGAACATTTGTTTTGGGTTATTTGAACTCCTGATTTAATCAAATATTAAATACATTCTAACAACATTTAGGATAAAGGTTTAGGTGAGAAATAATGGGACAAAATAAATTTTGATTCTATTTTTCTCTTTCAAATAAATCATCAAAATAAATTTTGATTCTATTTTTCTCTTCTAAGTAAATTAAAAACATAATTAAATAAATCATCAAAATAAATATTGATTTTATTTTTCTCTTTCAAATAAATCATCAAAATAAATTTTGATTATATTTTTCTCTTCCAAATAAATTAAAAAATAAATCATCAAAATAAATTTTGGATTCTATTTTTCTCTTTCAAATAAATTAAAATATAATTAAATAAATCATCAAAATAAATAAGTCTAACAGCTCCCAAGAGAATAAGGGAATAGTTAAGAAATTGATCATTTGAACATCAAAGCAACAGTGAGAATAAGACTATATTGGTTTTCTTGTTATGTTGTATTAGTCTCAGCAACCAAACACGCTGGGTTATCAATTCATGACACTTAGCGTGATTTAAAGTTGATATTCTCCTTAGATCATAGTATTTTTCTGTTTTACAGATCAGTCTATTTTACTGCTATCATATTGAGGTGTTGGCTAGTTTATGTGCCTATTGTACAAGTTTTTATTTATTATTTATATTTTTTTGTTGTTTGATCTTGAGGAGAGAGATGTTGTTATTGAATATAAATAGATAGATTTTCAAAACATAGAGATTTCTTGTTGTTGTTGTTGTGGAATCTGAATTTTATTTGTACAAATAGTGAGAAAAGAGATAAAATGAATTTGAATAGATAGATAGATTTTTCAACAAGTAATTTTAATATATAGTTTTTTTGGATAAGATAATTTGAATAGATAGAGAGAGAAATCTACGTATTTTAAACCAATAGAGAGAAATCCACAAAATTTAAATAGACATGAAAAAAAATTAAATAGATAGGGTAAAAAAATTGAGCAGATAGGAAAAAAAATTAAACAAATAGGGAAAATTTTTGAATAGATAAGGAAAATTTTTTAACATATACGAAATTTTTTTTAATTGATAGTCAATACATGACACTTAGTGTGATTTAAAGTTGATATTCTCCTTAGATCATAGTATTTTTCTATTTTACAGATCAGTCTATTTTACTGCTATCATATTGAGGTGTTGGCTAGTTTATGTGCCTATTGTACAAGTTTTTATTTATTATTTATATTTTCCAAGTGTTGGCTTGGAAAGATGTAAGCCTGTAGGGCGTTTTATTCGATGTTACATGTAATGCTTTATTTAGTATTACTCTGATGAATAAATTCATAAATTGTCTTCTTTAAATAATGCATGTCAATGATATATATAATGGGTTAATTTTGAGGGCGTTACAAGATAGATAGATTTTTCAACAAGTAATTTTAATAGATAGTTTTTTTGGATAAGATAATTTGAATAGATAGAGAGAGAAATCTACGTATTTTAAACCAATAGAGAGAAATCCACAAAATTTAAATAGACATGAAAAAAAATTAAATAGATAGGGTAAAAAAATTGAGCAGATAGGAAAAAAAATTAAACAAATAGGGAAAATTTTTGAATAGATAAGGAAAATTTTTTAACATATACGAAATTTTTTTTAATTGATAGTCAACAAAAGTCAATAGATAAATTAAGGGATAAAATTGAAAATAAAATATCTTTTAAAACAAATAAAAGGACTTCTCATTAAACTATTTCACAAAGGGTGGATTTTTCATTAACAAAAAATATCCACTACTGAACCTAATGCCTTATGAGTCCGGATCCTCGGCCGCACAAGCCTGCGGCCTTCTGTGCGGCACCCAAAAAACGACGTCGTTTTGGAGCAAATTTCAATTTAAAAAAAAAAACTGAACAGAAATCAGAGGGGAGGGAAAGAAGAGAGAGAAGAAGGGAGAAGAAGAGGGGAGAAGAAGGAAGATCTGACCTTGTGGAGCAATAATGGACCGGATCTCTTCTTTGTTTTGAGAAAGATGTCCCTTCTTCGTTCAATTATTGCCCCACCATGACAACAAACCTTTGGTTTGGGTCCACGGAATAAGTATATCTTCTGTATAAAATACGTATACCCATTTGATGTTGACGATTTTTCTCCAAAGTCCATTTCATTCTCAGTTTTTGTTGTTGTTTTTTTCCCCTCTTTAAGATCCTGTCATTCATGGTGGTAGAAGAGTGAGCGGATAGAGAAAGAGAAAAGAGAATACCATGATTGATATACGACCCTACCGTTCTGGTAAGAGACCCATATCCTCCATTTTTAAGGCCTGTACTTTGGTTTATATAATTTTTGTAAATGCTTGTCTGAGTTATGGATTTTCTTTCAATTAAAAAAATAAATAAATTTGGGTTGATGTAATAATTAGTTTTCTATATTATCTTTGATTGTTTTAGTTCATTTTAAAAAAGTAATAATAATTTTGGGGTGGTTGTGAGATTTCCAGGTGGTATTTGACTTTGAAGCTAAAAAGGGTTTGTTATTTGAGGTCAGGGTTCTTATGATTTTGGTGGGTATGATGAGATGGGGTTTGTTAGGTCTTCATGTTAATGATTTTTGATGGGTTTTTTTTCAGGGGATTTTGATTCTGATGAGATGAGGCTAAAAAGTATGATCAGGGTTTGAGACATCCTTTTGATGCTTGTTTGTGGGTTTGAATTTTCTAGTGCTCTCTGATTTTGATTTTGGTGGAATTGTTATTGTGGTTTTTTAAAATTTTAATGGTGTTGGAATTTGATTTTTAACAGTTTCTCTGTTGATGGGTTTGAAGGAATTTTGCATATGGAACTTTGTAAAACATTTAGGCTTTCTTGAAGAAAATCTTGATTTTAGACCTTCTTCTCAGCTGGAGAAGAAGGAAAATAAGAAACTACATTCGCAGAAGCCTTCCTTGTGAGTCCGGATCCTCGGCCGCACAAGCCTGCGGCCCTCTGTGCGGCACCCAAAAAACGACGTCGTTTTGGAGGAAATTTCAATTTAAAAAAGAAAAAAAGCTGAACAGAAATCAGAGGGGAGGGGAAGAAGAGAGAGAAGAAGGGAGAAGAAGAGGGGAGAAGAAGGGAGATCTGACCTTGTGGAGCAATAATGGACCGGATCTCTTCTTTGTTTTGAGAAAGATGTCCCTTCTTCGTTCAATTATTGCCCCACCATGACAACAAACCTTTGGTTTGGGTCCACGGAATAAGTATATCTTCTATATAAAATACGTATACCCATTTGATGTTGACGATTTTTCTCCGAAGTCCATTTCATTCTCGGTTTTTGTTGTTGTTTTTTTCCCCTCTTTAAGATCCTGTCATTCATGGTGGTAGAATAGTGAGCGGATAGAGAAAGAGAAAAGAGAATACCATGATTGATATACGACCCTACCGTTCTGGTAAGAGACCCATATCCTCCATTTTTAAGGCCTGTACTTTGGTTTATATAATTTTTATAAATGCTTGTCTGAGTTATGGATTTTCTTTCAATTAAAAAAATAAATAAATTTGGGTTGATGTAATAATTAGTTTTCTATATTATCTTTGATTGTTTTAGTTCATTTTAAAAAAGTAATAATAATTTTGGGGTGGTTGTGAGATTTCCAGGTGGTATTTGACTTTGAAGCTAAAAAGGGTTTGTTATTTGAGGTCAGGGTTCTTATGATTTTGGTGGGTATGATGAGATGGGGTTTGTTAGGTCTTCATGTTAATGATTTTTGATGGGTTTTTTTCAGGGGATTTTGATTCTGATGAGATGAGGCTAAAAAGTATGATCAGGGTTTGAGACATCCTTTTGATGCTTGTTTGTGGGTTTGAATTTTCTAGTGCTCTCTGATTTTGATTCTGGTGGAATTGTTATTGTGGTTTTTTAAAATTTTAATGGTGTTGGAATTTGATTTTTAACAGTTTCTCTGTTGATGGGTTTGAAGGAATTTTGCATATGGAACTTTGTAAAACATTTAGGCTTTCTTGAAGAAAATCTTGATTTTAGACCTTCTTCTCAGCTGGAGAAGAAGGAAAATAAGAAACTACATTCGCAGAAGCCTTCCTTGTGAGTCCGGATCCTCGGCCGCACAAGCCTGCGGCCCTCTGTGCGGCACCCAAAAAAGTCAAAAATATAATTTAATTGAATTGAATTTCTACTATGCAAGAGAGAACTAAATCATAACCCATTTCAAACAAGGGTTTGGCTTTTCTTACAATAAGATGACAACTTTAGAAAAGTACGTTTGGGCTTGGTAGGTTAATTTTTTAATAGATTTTGGTGATCCGAACCGTTGATTCTTTAAATGTAATTTCGTAGAATATTCATGCAGAAAATAAAAATAATTGGACATCGGTAGCTATATGTTTGAATCATATTTGTTTTTAAAAAATAGACGACAAATATAATTTAAAAAATAGCCATTCATTTTTTAGTAATACAAATTTGATTCAAACATATAGTTACTGATTTCTGATCATCATAATTTTTTACATGAATATTCTACTTAATAAATCCTAAAAAGTAAACGATTCCAATAATCAAAGTCAGTGCCAAAATAGACGTACTAAGCCCAAATGTTCTCTGAAGTTGAGATAACCAATATGAAAGAAGCCCAATTTTTTCGACGTGTCCTTATCAATAATCATCAAACAAGTTTTTACCCTAGATCTAATATCTTATACTCTCTTTGGGATAAACTTTTCACAAATTTCTTCTCTTTGGCTTCTCTCAAGTTGGCCATCTCAACTTGAGAGAGTATTTGAACTTAATAGACTCATTTTAGGACTAATTTCAATGATCCAAACTATTTATTTTTTAGAACTAGTTGAATATGATATTTATGCAAAAAAATAAAAATTATCGGATATCATTAGTTATATGTTTGAATCAAATTTGAATTAGAAAAAATGAATGTGTTCTTGAAATTATATTTATCATTCATTTTGTAAAACAAATATGATATAAAACTTATAGCTATCCATATCCAATTATTTTGAATTTTTTAGATAAATATTCTATTCAACAAGTCTTAAAAAGTGAACGATTTGAATCACTTTGAATCACCAAAATTGGTCTCAAAATGGGCCTACCAAACCCGAACACTCTCTCAAGTTGAGATGATAACGTGAGAAAAGTCAAACCCTTTTTCTTTATATATATATATAATTTTTTTATTTAACATAAGTCACTCAAATATTTTATTAGTATCTCAATTTTATACATAAGTTGTTAATCTTTTACTCTTATATGTGTGTTTTGTATAGTAGTGAAATTAATTCTAAAATATTTTTATTTGTAAAATTATGATATATTAATGTTTGAACAAATTATAAATAATATTTTATAATCATTTTATGAATAATGACAATGTTATAAAAATTCGTGATCTTAAATTGAAATAATCAACATAGTATTGATTCAATCTAATTTGATTATAAAATTTTCATAATCTAATTTAATTTTAAATTTCCTAAAATCATCAATAATAATTTGATTTTAATTTTAACTCAGGGATTGTTTGGGAACAAACTAAAATAACATATTTTTTATTATTTTTTATTTTTATCTTTTTAGATCATATCATTTTTTACTTTTTTACAAGTTTTTTCTTAAAAATCAAAAAATTATTAAAATAATATATTTCCAAACAACCCTTTATTCTTAAGGAAAATTTGGTCAAAACTTCATCATAATAAAATTTTAATACATTAAGAATAAGTACAAAAAAAAATTATATACTCATATGCTTATCTTTGTGAAGTGTAGATACAGCTCATATGCTTGTCTAGAGAAGTGAAGATACAGCTCATATGCTTATCTTTGTGAAGTGTAGATACAGCTCATATGCTTGTCTAGAGAAGTGAAGATACAGCTCATATGCTTATCTTTGTGAAGTGTAGATACAGCTCATATGCTTGTCTAGAGAAGTGAAGATACAGCTCATATGCTTATCTTTGTGAAGTGTAGATACAGCTCATATGCTTGTCTAGAGAAGTGAAGATACAGCTCATATGCTTATCTTTGTGAAGTGTAGATACAGCTCATATGCTTGTCTAGAGAAGTGAAGATACAGCTCATATGCTTATCTTTGTGAAGTGTAGATACAGCTCATATGCTTGTCTAGAGAAGTGAAGATACAGCTCATATGCTTATCTTTGTGAAGTGTAGATACAGCTCATATGCTTGTCTAGAGAAGTGAAGATACAGCTCATATGCTTATCTTTGTGAAGTGTAGATACAGCTCATATGCTTGTCTAGAGAAGTGAAGATACAGCTCATATGCTTATCTTTGTGAAGTGTAGATACAGCTCATATGCTTGTCTAGAGAAGTGAAGATACAGCTCATATGCTTATCTTTGTGAAGTGTAGATACAGCTCATATGCTTGTCTAGAGAAGTGAAGATACAGCTCATATGCTTATCTTTGTGAAGTGTAGATACAGCTCATATGCTTGTCTAGAGAAGTGAAGATACAGCTCATATGCTTATCTTTGTGAAGTGTAGATACAGCTCATATGCTTGTCTAGAGAAGTGAAGATACAGCTCATATGCTTATCTTTGTGAAGTGTAGATACAGCTCATATGCTTGTCTAGAGAAGTGAAGATACAGCTCATATGCTTATCTTTGTGAAGTGTAGATACAGCTCATATGCTTGTCTAGAGAAGTGAAGATACAGCTCATATGCTTATCTTTGTGAAGTGTAGATACAGCTCATATGCTTGTCTAGAGAAGTGAAGATACAGCTCATATGCTTATCTTTGTGAAGTGTAGATACAGCTCATATGCTTGTCTAGAGAAGTGAAGATACAGCTCATATGCTTATCTTTGTGAAGTGTAGATACAGCTCATATGCTTGTCTAGAGAAGTGAAGATACAGCTCATATGCTTATCTTTGTGAAGTGTAGATACAGCTCATATGCTTGTCTAGAGAAGTGAAGATACAGCTCATATGCTTATCTTTGTGAAGTGTAGATACAGCTCATATGCTTGTCTAGAGAAGTGAAGATACAGCTCATATGCTTATCTTTGTGAAGTGTAGATACAGCTCATATGCTTGTCTAGAGAAGTGAAGATACAGCTCATATGCTTATCTTTGTGAAGTGTAGATACAGCTCATATGCTTGTCTAGAGAAGTGAAGATACAGCTCATATGCTTATCTTTGTGAAGTGTAGATACAGCTCATATGCTTGTCTAGAGAAGTGAAGATACAGCTCATATGCTTATCTTTGTGAAGTGTAGATACAGCTCATATGCTTGTCTAGAGAAGTGAAGATACAGCTCATATGCTTATCTTTGTGAAGTGTAGATACAGCTCATATGCTTGTCTAGAGAAGTGAAGATACAGCTCATATGCTTATCTTTGTGAAGTGTAGATACAGCTCATATGCTTGTCTAGAGAAGTGAAGATACAGCTCATATGCTTATCTTTGTGAAGTGTAGATACAGCTCATATGCTTGTCTAGAGAAGTGAAGATACAGCTCATATGCTTATCTTTGTGAAGTGTAGATACAGCTCATATGCTTGTCTAGAGAAGTGAAGATACAGCTCATATGCTTATCTTTGTGAAGTGTAGATACAGCTCATATGCTTGTCTAGAGAAGTGAAGATACAGCTCATATGCTTATCTTTGTGAAGTGTAGATACAGCTCATATGCTTGTCTAGAGAAGTGAAGATACAGCTCATATGCTTATCTTTGTGAAGTGTAGATACAGCTCATATGCTTGTCTAGAGAAGTGAAGATACAGCTCATATGCTTATCTTTGTGAAGTGTAGATACAGCTCATATGCTTGTCTAGAGAAGTGAAGATACAGCTCATATGCTTATCTTTGTGAAGTGTAGATACAGCTCATATGCTTGTCTAGAGAAGTGAAGATACAGCTCATATGCTTATCTTTGTGAAGTGTAGATACAGCTCATATGCTTGTCTAGAGAAGTGAAGATACAGCTCATATGCTTATCTTTGTGAAGTGTAGATACAGCTCATATGCTTGTCTAGAGAAGTGAAGATACAGCTCATATGCTTATCTTTGTGAAGTGTAGATACAGCTCATATGCTTGTCTAGAGAAGTGAAGATACAGCTCATATGCTTATCTTTGTGAAGTGTAGATACAGCTCATATGCTTGTCTAGAGAAGTGAAGATACAGCTCATATGCTTATCTTTGTGAAGTGTAGATACAGCTCATATGCTTGTCTAGAGAAGTGAAGATACAGCTCATATGCTTATCTTTGTGAAGTGTAGATACAGCTCATATGCTTGTCTAGAGAAGTGAAGATACAGCTCATATGCTTATCTTTGTGAAGTGTAGATACAGCTCATATGCTTGTCTAGAGAAGTGAAGATAC